TTCCGAGATTGGATTGTCATGCACCCAGTTCCCTACGGAAAAATTTCCCAAAGGATTGTTGTAGGTCTCTACTCATCATAAATTTCGACAAAAGTTCCTCAACGTGGATTGTCATTCATTTCAGTAAGTGGCAACTTTTCCCGAAGTGGATTGTCGGTCGACTCTTTTTTTGCAAATGTTCTAAGATGCGGATTGTCAATAGTGGCAATATTTCCCCAAAAGGATTGTCGCATAGCGTTGGCAAATTTCCAAGGTGGATTGCTTTCAAGAGTTATATTCCAAGATGTGGATTTTCGATCGTAGCAAAGTTCTTATGAAAGATTGTTACGAAGCATTGGCAATTTTTCCAAAAATTGGATTTTGGCAAATTTTCTGAGATACGGATTGTCGCTTCATCGTGGCAAAATTTCCAAGGATGGATTGTTACGTGGCATTGACAACTTTCCCTAAATCGGATTGTCATACATCATACAAGAGTTGTGTTGGCAACTATTCCCAAAGAAAAGAGGATTGTCATCACAGCAAAAGCACCGACATACTGGTTCACAAGCAGCAAAGTACCGACGTACTAGCATAACAAACATTAAGAAGCAGTGATCTTTTCGAAGACTATCACAGCGGAAATTAGAGTCATATAAAAAAGAAGCTCTTTGTTCAGAGACGAGTGAACATCGAAACAGCAAGGTGGCGTTCCCTAGATTGTGGAGAGTTGTCACAAACTGATGGAGATTGTTTCAAGAGAAATAATCTTTGATGATATTCCCTTGGATGTGGAATATTATCATAGCGGAGGAGGATCGTTTCAGGCGAAGCAATCTTCTAATTTGGAAGCAGTTACAGGTGTAGCGGTTTTCAAGCGGGATGGCATTCTCTAGCTTGCAGAAGGTCATCAAAACAACAGCAGCAGCAAATCGGTTACTTTCAAAGACGTGTGCTCGACGGTGCAAGATACGCGTTTCTTAACTCTTCTATCTGTTTAACTAATGCTAGTTTTGCAGGTATCGGCGTTACAAGAGTGATTTAGGATCGCAGAACGTTCTGAATCATTCTCCGTCCCTATCGATACTTTGACTTTCGTTTTCGAAACTTGCGTTTCTCCAAACTCAGTCAAAGTGGGGGCTTCTGTAGACATTCATTTGTGTCTCCCCAAAACCAAACCCAGTGATGAATACCTTTCACGTCGAACCATAATCGAATGAGGTGAAAGTGTGGAAAAGTCTAGTGTTGCGGTTAGTTTTTGTTAAAATTCTTTCTTTCTGTTTTCGAAAACCAACTCTATTTTATGAAAACGTCTATTCCAGTTTAGTTTGGTCCATTATAAGGGTCCAATAATGGTGTAGTTGGATGGGGCTTGCAAAGACCTTTCCAACGATATATTATAAGCCCAATTCCGATGGATAATGAGGAAGTTATGGCCAAAATACTAAACTGGGCCCAAACCGGATTTTGCCTACGACCCAATGATCATGAGGAGGGTCCAAAGGTTTAATCCTATTCCTAAACTAATTAGGATTGATTAGAATCTTCTATAAGTTTCTAAAATATCTTAATTATCCTTTTTTGAAAAGATAAGATTAAGGAACTTGATTTAAATATAAACTTTCCTTTTTTATAAAACTTTCCCTTTTTAAAGTCCTAATTCTATTCGGATTTAAACATGTTCAAAGACAGTCAGATATTATTTTCGTGCCTCATATTTTTTATCCAAATTTTATATGGTTGGATAGATCTTGAAATTATCTTTCCAATGATATATTATAATAATAATTCCGAGCTATAACGGAAAAGATATGAATAAGATATCAAACTCTATCCAAAACTGACACCGTCTCACTATTTCGTTCATATCTTTTATTCTACACCATATTTTAATCTGATTATAATTGGGTTAGAAAGTAGACTTCAAGATCTTTCCAACGACATCTTATTCATCTTATTCCAATTCCTGGATCAAAAGATATGATAAAAACAAAATCCGCAAAAACTGTTGTCTACGAGTTCTATTTCGATTCGAATTTGGATTCTTTTCTTAATTCTTCGACCCTCTTTTTTCCTATAAATAGAGGTCATATCTCCCCCTTTTCAATCATCAACTCTCATCAAGATTTTCTTGATTATTCTCTCTCTTTTCTAAACTTTGTTTTCACATACAAAATTCCGCATTCACAAGATCTAGAAACACCTAGCCATATTCGAAGTTGCCTTCGCCCTAGACGTGAAAGGTTTTAATTTCTGAGGGTTTGGTCCCAAATCTCTCTTTCAATTATTTAATTTAATTGTTTTGATAATTTATTTTCCTTGAAGTTACTAACGTGTGTATTTTGTTATTAGAAAGAGGTACGAGGCATCAAAGTAAGTGTTTTAATTGATTAATTGATATTATGATGTAGAAATCATGTTTATATTGTTATTATGATATTCCTAGTATCATGTCTAGGTTAATTTTAATATCAAATATGATTGCTATGGTGCCTTTTATTCTCTTCCTAATATTTATGATTGTTAGTATCATGTTAGGGCTAAAGATTTGATTTTTATTGCTTAGTGACATGCTAGGGTTTGTTATTAATCTTGTTAGTATCATGCCTAGGATCTTGCTATGCTTTAACATGATTATGATTATGATTGATATTATTATTATTAATGATGTTGATTATTTATTATGTTGCTTGATACATATTATTTTATATTGTTATTGCTTGATCACCTTTATTGCATGTTTAAAGGGAATTGATACTTGTAATCACGCTTAATAAGATAATTAATAATCTTGTTTAGGGTTAATTGTGATTATAATTCAAGTGATCGCCAATAATAGTTTATTTGTGCATTAAATTCAACCAACATAGATTAAACAGGTTTAGGGTTAATCTATTGATTGCATGTTAGTCAGAAAGCGCACATGAATACGAGCAGAATAAAGTAGAGGCCTATTATTAGGGCAGGTTCAATCTCTTTTAGGTTGGATTTGTACCATCATCCCCGAACCCTTATTTGGTTCATGACCTTATGGAGTTGGCGATCTCTTGGATCGTTAAGGGGTGTAACCTTCACCTCGTGAACGGTTTATAAGTTCCTTAAAAACTTGTTGGCGACTCTTTTGCTCTATCTTCTTCCCTTTTGGACGCCACCGTACTTTAGTGTATGATCACAGTGGGGTTCAAGCTAGTGGGATTTTTAAGGCTTGAAATTATTCCCTACAGTTTTTGGCGACTCCGCTGGGGAGGATTTCTATTTTAATTCCTGAATTTGTTTCGGCAATGATTTAGAATTAGTGGATGAGACTCGAAAAGTTCTAAGTATTTCATGTGCGTAATTTTGATTAACATTATTGTCATATGCATAAAAAGGTTCTCATTTGAAAGACCATCCGTAATGAGTCAAAAACATAGGATTTTACACGTAGGAAATTTGAGAAATGTCTTTCACAACTAGGACTGAAATAACACCGCGCGAAACTGGATGATTTTATTGAGCACAGTAAGCTGCTGAGGCATGTGAGAAGTAGCGTCAGGGGCCAGAGCTTGGCGCCAACATTTTAGTCGTAGCGCCAGACGCCAGTATTGGCGCCAGGCGCTACAGCTAAAATTTGGCGCCAGTCTCTGTTTGCTGGCGCCAATTTCCCCCAATACCGAGCCAGAAATATGCGTTCTAATTTCGACCGGTTTTTCGTATTGTTTGCTCGATCCTACTTCCTGATTGAAGCCGACTCAGACAGCTAAAAGTTCGACGTTGAAGCCGACTCAGACAACGATTGGTTTCTCCTCCGGTTTATGATTTCCCGGGCATCAAGCGTTGATTTTTTACTTCTCACCGGCTGCTGGGTCCGGCGAGTGTTATTGGTGTTCCCCCTAGGAAGGAGAATTTTTTACCAATCAATGGTCCCAGCTGCCTTCTCCTTTGGGTGGGGAGTGGGTTGCCGGTCTCTGACCGACTTCCCCTTCTCGGGAGGAGTCTTCTTCGCTGACTGACCTTTGCTTGGGCCAGCCCGACTTTTGGTGATCAACTCTTTAATTTCACCCTTGAAACTTGTCATGAATCTCATGAGTTCGTCTTGGGTGACAGGGTCTGATCCAGCTGCCGTTTGGGTTTCCCCTTCCGGCTTCCCAGAGGGTCGACTGGGACCCGCCTGGGAGGCACCCCGCTCCAGGGTGTCTTTGGGCCGGATGCGCTTGGTTTTGAGAGAGCCGTCTTCTGCTGTAAAGGCTTCGACCTGAGGGTCTTCATCCTCCTCATGGTCTGTAAAAACTTCTGGGTCTTCACCCAGACGGTTAGGGGGTGGTACAGACTCTTGAACCATCTTCGAGGTACTCTCCCCACAGATGGCGCCAAATGTTTTGGGTGTTTTTGTCCCTCGGAAGAGTTACGTCACGAAGTCTGATCCGGCCGATCTGTACCTGCAAAATAACGGAGACTCCGGGTGGTTGGAGCTCCGCCTCCGACGGTCAAGTTAGTAACTTGAAACGGAATAAAGAGTACGGAAATTTAGGTGGGGATCTGCTTGGATTCCAAGCTCAGGTGTTTCTCTGATGTAAGAGAATGCAGGTGTATTAAATGGTAAAACGTGCCCTCAAAATGAGGGACATCTCCCTATTTATAGGGTCTTTGGGAATTGTGCCCCTGATTAGGTCACTGAACCCTAATCATTGGTGGACTGCGCCGTTTTTGCGGCGTTCTCGGGATTTGGGCCTGAATGCCGCCTTTTTTCCCTTTATTTCTGGAATGACACGTGTCAAGCAGGGATTGGTCCATTTTGGACCAATCTGGGGGGCTGACACGTGTCACCTTCTGATTGGGCCACATGGCAGGGTAAAATTACCCTAAACAAGTATGATAATAGACATGTATCAACTAAAAAAAAGAGAGGAAGTAGTTACAAATATGAAAGTAGATAAGCGTTTTACTACCTCTATTTCTTATTATGCGTAAGAAAAAAATATTTTATGGTTCAGAAATAATATCCCTTTGTTATACATAATGAAAAACTCAAGTACGGAGTAGTATTTTTGTGGTAAAATAAATCCAAATTCAAACCATTTGTGGAGTAGGCTTAAAAAACTGGCTCATACGAAAGAACCCAACCCGATCAGACCCGACCAAAAGCACTAACCTCCAGCCGGCGTCATCTTGACTATAGTTCATGGGCTAGCAGTTGTGGACTGTGGTTAGGTGGATTGAAGTGAAAAGGCGGAAAAATGGAAATGAGAAAAAGCAACGATCTTTGTCTCTTTTCTGTATTGAAGCCGAAGATCTATTCGTGTGTAAGACTTTCTGATTCCCTGTTTTATGAATTTTTATTGCTTACTTCATTTGCTATTATTAGGTTTTTATCTGAAATCTCAAGCCCCGTATTCAATCAGAGAAATTAATCCGCGCATAGATACATAATAATTGATTAATTGTTCATTGTTGATTGATCAATTGATTGAAAATGTTGTAGGATGGAAATAAATACTCAGCTTTGCCGACTGCGATAAATTGGGAGCTTTCTTTGATTTGAATAAGCGATTTTCCTCATAAATCACCAATTGCAGGTAATCATATTCAATTATCTTGTATTGATTCTGTTACAAATCTTTTTTTTTTTTTTTTTTAAATGTAATCTTATTTATTTTGGAATTGTATATTATCAAAATTATAGTACTGGTATTAAAAAGATTACCCCTTGTATTTGTTGGAATGGGGAAACATACAGCAAAGGAGTGTGCATTACATAAGAGGGATTAAACCCTATAAGCCCCAAAGCCGCTCTATATATATTTGTTTGGAAAAATGGAAAAGAAAAATCCAACCTTTGCATTTTTATTTACAAAAATCCAACCTTTGCATTTTTCTTTACAAAAATCCAACCTTCATTTTATTCTTCAAAAATCCATTACATGTGGATGACCGGTTTTTCTAAGTTATATGCCACGCGTAAGCTATTAATAGGTGAATTATTTATTTAATTATTAAAAAAAATTAAAAGAAAAAGAAAAAAAAATCAGAATCCCTTTTCCACCACCACCACCTTCCCCTGCCACCTCCACCATCTTCCCCTGCCACCACTCCCTCTCCCCCTCCCTCCCCTGCGCGCCCACCGAAACCCAACACACACCACCAAAACCGCACAGCCACCAACACACACACACCCAGCCACCAACAAAACCGCACAGCCACCAACTCCACCGTCCAGCCACCACCTCCAAACCCAAACCCCGCTAACCGCCCAGCCGCCAAAAAAAAAATAATCAAAAAACCCCCTTTTTTCCGTCACATCAGCCACCCAAATCACCCACCTTCGATTCCCTTAACCTCGAAACCCTCCGTACCTGAAACCTAGCCCCTAAAAACCTCCTCGAAACACAGCCCGATGTCACCCTTTGCACTTTTTCGTCACTACCACCACCACCTTCTCCTACCACCAACACACTTGCCCATCCCACCCTTTGCAAATCATAAGCCTTGACTCCATGAAGGAAGAGGTGAGAGAGAGATAGAGAGGGGGAATGAGAGTGAGGGAGGGGAGGAGAGGTGAAACGACGGTGATGAGTGGTGGAGGCGGAGGTGGGGTTGGTGGTTTCAGTGTTTGAGGTGAGAGGAGAGAGAAAGAAGAGGAGTGAGATGGAAAAATGAGAGAATTACAAAAAAAAAAAAAAAAAAAACTTTTTCAACCAGTCGCAGGTAAAATGGACGTGTTGGGGAAGGCGGGGTATAAAAGTTGGATTTTTGAGGAATAAAATGAAGGTTGGATTTTTATAAGGAAAAGGTGCTAAGGTTGGATTTTTCTTTTCCATTTTTCCTATTTGTTTTTAATCACACCTAACATGTACGGGTACTTCGTATCGTATAGTGTATATCTTCTGCTATTTGTCCAAGTCAAACCATTTAAGAAACTAGATTATGTCCTTGAACTATGCTGTCTTTGTTACCTACTTCAAACATCGGGACATGATTCTCAGGCTGTTGGAGGCTCTCTAGTCTCATCTGGTACATCCTCAAATTATGTGCTTTGGCATGTCAGATTGTGTAATTGAAATGAAATGACATTCTTCTATAGAATTAGATATTGAGTTACTTTGATTTAAGTTCAAACTCCTGAAATTATCAACAAAAAGCTGATTGCATTATAAACTAATCCCTTTAAGCATCCTTTTCATCTAACTCTGATTGTTAATGTCCTTAAAGATTCATCTTGAGCTAAAATATTGTCACTGAATACTCTTTTAGCTCCATTTGCAATGGGCAATGAGTTTAAGTTTTGCAAAATAGCAAGTCCAAAACACTTGCCCGAATTGTTATTAACTCATGCACGTCCAATTTTTTTTCTCAAAAATCAAGCTTTATTTGAGATTGTGATACATGCTCAGCTTTGATAATAATGATGCTCGCTACTCATGCTCAATGAGCTCTTCCTCAATTTGACTAATAAAGAACCTTAGGGATTCCACATTAATTTCTAGGAGGAGCATTATGGCTATTTCCTTAAACCTAAAATGCTATTTTGACTTTTTACTTCACCTATAGGAGTGTGTTTGTCTTATGAACACTAAAGGAAATGTTGAGAGTTCATATCACAACTCAATAAATTCTTGTGTTTGTTTTATGAGAAAGGAGAGATTAACTCTCAATCTCTCTTACCATAGTTCCCTCCATTTTATTACCTAAAGGGGTTAAGGGGGTGGGGTGTTTGGAGGAGAAAGGGAGAGGCATGTTTAGTAAGGGCATATATGTGAATTTGTTGTTTAATCCTAACATTTTTTTTTTCCAATCACCAAATAAGGGATTTGTTTTATTTTCATGAATTCTCACCTACCATTCCGCATTCTTAACCCTACCCTCTACTCCCCCAACACCCATGCTCGCATGCTAAACACCCCAACTACTCATGTCAGATACTCGACATTCAACACTCGAGCATTGATATGACACTTAAATACTTTACTTGGCCAAGATCATGCAAAGATTTTATAAAATAAATGTGCCTGACAATTGGGAGTTAGGAGACTTGGGACACATACTCGTGTTTGGCACTTCTAATTGAGTTTGAGTATTATTGCTTATAGACGCCATAGGTAGCACCTTGTATGCAAATAATGGAATCCATCACGGTCTCTCTCATCATTCTTGTCTTTTTTGTTTCTTCGTTTTGCATGTTGTTCTTGTCTCCTTCCTTTCTTCCTCAATCTCTCTCCTTGATATCTTTTGGTTTTCACCTCCTCTCACATCTTCATCCTTTAATTGGTGATCACAAAATATAAAAAATAAGAACTTTGCTTTCCTATGAGAAATTACTCCAAACATCATTTATGAGAAAGTGCTTAAGAGAGGACATAAGGTAAACTGGTGGAAGCTTGGTAGGATTATATTGTGCTCAGCTGCTCCGTATATCTAAATTAGGTTTTTTTTTTTTTTTTTTTTTTTTTTTTTTGAACTATTGTATTAGGGATTTTTCTTGTATAATATTTAAGGATTTGCTGGTTTGGTGGCGTTAGATCCTCACTGGAAAATGTGATTGACAGACTTTTTTTATTTAAAAAAAAATTAACTGTTAAGTTTTTGTTACCTCTTGGTGTTTGATTTTCTTATTGTATATTGCAACAGTTTGATTATTCTGCGCTTTTTTGGGGTTTATATTTGAATAGTAATCTTTCTGGATATTTCTTTAGAAATCATACACAAAGTATAGTGTAAATTAGCTTTGATACCAAATTTGGATCCTGGATTTGTTACCCTCTTGTTAGTTTGGACCTTTTAGATTTGACTCCAAATCTTGACATTTTTATACTTGATTTATCAAAATTTAAGCTCTTTCCTTTGGGAAAAAAGCTCATTATGTGGCTCGGATTGGGAGGCAAGGGTGAAATATTGACTATACTCATGGGTTTATGCGTATGGCTTCTAGATTGGGAGGCAAGGGAAATGGGAATAGTTTTGTATGTAAATTTGAAAAGAAAATAAATGTTTATTCCCATAATCAGTCAAGATGACCCCGAATTCTCAATTTAAATTTTTATTCCCACCTAGCACCCCTTCTCAAGTGGTAAATGGATTGTAATGGAAAAATATGAAGAAAACACTAGTTTGGGGAATGAGAATGTTTTCCCATGGAGATTGTTGGTTGTGTCCATACTAAATTACACTTAATAGTTAATATTGATTCCCACTACCCCAATTTATTACCGGCTATCAAACAGACCATTAGATAATTAGAGTAAGGTGGTTTGTTGATAAAAATTACTCCCTCCATCCCCAAATGATAGTCCCTTATGGGCAAATTTTAGTCCCAAAATGTTCACCCCGTTTGTTTTTTCCAACAACCATTAATATTAATTTTTTATCCAAATTCCCTCCAATTTGCAACAATAGTTGTGCAAATTTAACTTTCCCATGTACTTTTATTACTTTCTCTCTCTACTTTTTAGCATACCCAATGTCAATTTACTTTTTCAATCTACTTTTACTATTCTTATTTGTGTTTATTAATTCCCATGAAAATGCCCACAAGGGACTATCAATAGGGGACGGAGTATATATATACATATATATATATACATATATATATATATATATATATATATTCATATACATATATATATATATATATATATATATATACATATATATATATATATATATACATATATATATATATATATACATATATATATATATATATATAGAATTGAGATCATGTGAGAACCAAGGTGAATAATAGGAAATAGGAACTAATCTCATGATCGCACTCCATTTAATGGCTCATATTACACCCGCTCTCATTAATGGCATTCTCGTAATTTTGCTGTTTTCAAACTTTTTTTCCAGTTTTTTTTAACTTTTAAGACAATTTTCATTTACTTTAAGACTGATTTCATTTACTTTTACTAAATTTTCATTTACTTTTGAGAAATAAAACTGGAAACTATTTCATAAAGTTAAAATATTACAAAAATGCCATTAATGACATGGGAAGCATGTGAGCCATCCGATTAACATGATCTAAGGGTCTAGATTAGTTCCTAGTTCTTATTTTAGTGTTGGTTCTCATTATAACTTGGTCCTATAATGATTTTACGTGCATAAGACTCAAATTTATTGTTCATATATTTTGAACATAATGTGCACAATTTCGTTTTTTCACAGAAAATTCAAAAAAAAAAAAAAATTAGTACAAAAATCAATTTTGCACATTTAGTGAAAAACTTCTGCACATTTTCATTCTTCTCAATTGAGAAGCTTCTCATTAGATCTCAACCCTATATTTATATATGTAACGGACACAATACTTAACAAGGGCCGTGGTTTGATCACTTATGCAAGAAGGAGGAGGAGGGGTCAGCAAATTAGAATGTCAGAGAATGGACAGCAGGGCAGTCACCAAGCAGAGCAACCACCACCAATCAGGGAAGAGCCTTAACAACTGCAGCAACAACTTTTGTTGTTTTCCTTCTTTTGGCAGATTATGTATATATAAGAAAAGGAGGGTAGGATGTGCGAGGCAGGCAAGATCATTGTAATTTCTTAGAGCTAGAGAGTGGTGCCCTAAAGGTGCTAA